TGCGGTGATACTAGTAGGCAAGTGAGCCTTGGATGTACGATCAGTAGGTGTCGCTTAAAGAGTGCTATATGTCTAAGGCAGCTGCCGATCTGAAGTAATCTGTCAATGTTCAGCTTTCTTAGCTGACTCTGTCTGGGAAGCGTGTGGCTGTCCGTAGTGGCAGCGACCTCGATTGGGTAATGCAAGACTTGCATCACATAAAACTGATTAAGAGTTTCATCGAGCTTATCGAAGCTTAATGATGGCTCCTTTTGTTCTGAGTCGGGTTGATTTCGATGATGACGTCAGCGGAGATCAGGAGGTGATTCTCAGAAGCCGGTGTAGTGAAGAGAATCTGACAAGTAGTTCAGGTTCACTAACATCTTAGACGGCTGCTATGTGCGTATTCTATTTTCAGGCAGATCGTTTGTGGAAATCTCATCACTCTCGTTTAGCCACTACTTAACGTTCTTATAGAGTAAGAGTTCTTAAAGTCAGGCTGGATCGATCCACCAGAGGATATGATTAATGAAGTTATTCGTTGCAATGCCTCTGCAGGCGCAAACAGCTGGGTTCTCTCTTTCCGGAACGTGACACCATCGTGCTTCCGGAAGAAACTCTTAGATCTACAACTACTCTATTTACCATGTATGTTTTTCATCGGAAAGCGTGACCTTGAATCCAATGGAGGATGACCTTGGGGTCAGACCATAAGGTAACAGGCGCTATGCAAACTCAAAACGATGAATAAACAATTAAGTTAGTTAATAAAAAAACGACGCAAAGTTCCAATAGCGGCAGTGAAATCGGTTTAATTGACGCAACTTTGCTTTTTGCCATAAGCAGGCGGATTGTGATGCCATCTTTGATGATGCGAAGAATAAACCATGTCGGCATCTCTCACACGGACAGCGACGGCGTGCAATTCCAGATGAAAGTTTTTGTCACCAGCCAGCGGCCAATACGGAGGCGTTGGAGTTGCAGAAATTCGTCGAAGAATATTTGCCACTGGACGTCAGTTGTCAAACACGCATTCCTGTTGTCGCAGTCAGGCTGACTGAATAAGAACTTTTACTTGAATTGTGATTGGAGTCAATCATCCAAGCGAATCAAAGAATCGTTCTGTTTCCGAGAAAATGCCTATTGGTATATTCCGCGATAGTGCAGGCGTGGATTTTGAAGGCGAAAGCGCATCTTCGGCTGAGTATCAGTGTGACATGATCTTCATGCTCCCATGTGAATGAATCAGTGTTAATGAAGCAGTGTTCCGACGGAATGCCAGCAAAAATTTCATGATAGTTTACGGTCCATTTCCACAATGAAAACCCGCCCATCATACAGAACCGGTAAAGTTCAATTTGTAACGTGATCGCGTCTGACAAAATATGCTCGTCAACGACTTAACAATCGTGGCGTAATGCGGCGGAAATTTGTGGGAATCGATCTTCATCGTCAGCGAGTTGACGGATAGTTAGAAATGGCGCGCACGCTAGGCACGTAAGTAACTGTCGTTAATTTATATTCTGGATTCTTCTAACCGGAGAGACCAGTGCCGCCAAAGAATAATCTTGATCCTCCGGAAAGACGCAAATTTGCAGACACATTTTCTTGACATCCAACATAAGGACATAACGGTACAACATTAGTACATTTGAGAAAAGTGGCAATAGATTGGTGCCGATCAACAGATTAAAATTAAGTGACTCATCGGACATGGTACGCTGCGATCCATTGAAAATTTCCATTCGCAGTTTCGTTATGATACTGGACTCTTAGATCACTTCGTAAGTAACATCTTGTGTTTAACATCTTGATAAGTTTTGCGCCAGTTCCATGTGACTTAAGTTTTCATATCCTTGTAGGAAAGCACATAGATGATAGAATTGCCAGAACTGGGGACCCTGATCACATCGGAACTCCATAAAAATTAAGAGACATTCTGCTGATTTGTAAGTTTCAGCGAGGGTTAGCGGCGGCGAGACGAATGGCAAACGCACCATGTACCATCTATCGGCTGTGCGTTTGTGGATTTGCGCGAAGAAGTCTTAATCTTGCACAATTTATCGCTTGAAAATAACAGGAGCGGAGATTTCCTTCTCCTGCTCCAAACGTTGCACGAGAGTGACTAGCTCATGGTCTGCTGTACATTGAAGTGAGCTGCGCGATATTTTCTCTGATATTTCATCGCAGCTATCGGAGAAAATCCATCCAAGGAGTGTTTTCTGAGTGATCAGAGTTCGTGAATCTCCCTTATGGAGATTCTCGTGGAATATGAGCGGACATATTTCTCCTCCGAAAAGATCCACTGAATTGTTGACCATAAATCCTGTATGGTTCTGTCAGTGAAAAGTCCTTAATATGAGGCTACTTCTGTTTGCTCTTCATGTTGGCGCCTTAAATGAGGGTGCGGAAAAATGAAGGCGACAGCGTTGAATTTTGTGCTATCTACTAAGGACGTCAGATTGAGAGTCTTGCTTCTACTAAACCTACCTGGTGCATGCATGAAGATCGCAATCAGAATCAAGACAAATACAGTCGCTATATCAGTGCCTCTGAAGTTAAGGATACCTCCGAGTCTTGGTCAATCAGAATTCAAACGATGTGCTGGCTTTCATGGCAATCGGCGACAGATACTCTAGCGGTTGGAGGGAAGGATCGCCTTGTAATCCTCGTTGTGACGTACAGCGGACACTGCGCTGACTTCGACAAGTTTCAGCGGAATGTATGTTTCATGAAGCAACGTGTATGTTTTCACTGACTGGCACTTCGAAACCGAATGCGACAATTCAAGCATAATCGATGTATCTCAATGATGATCTTGCGGTCGGATGGATTTCGACTTGAAGTTCTCACACATCATGTTATGTTTGCCTTTGCATAGAATGCATTGTGACGAATCGGCAGTGCATTTCGTGTGGTACAATTTCACGGTTTGCAGCAAGTCCCCGGAGAATCTTGTTAATCTTGTTTAATCTTGGTTTTGCAGCGTTGAGTATGAGTTCGTTTCGTTAAGAAGTTCATTTCGTGATCTGATAGATTAGTTGAGTTACTCGAATATGACTCCCATTCGAAAAGAATCTATAGATCGAAAAGTTCCACAATGAGAATGTTGAAGAGGTCGAAGTCGTGTGAATTTACTGATCTTCCTAAATCTTCCTCTTAGTCGTTCATAACGTTGGTAATTGCGTTGTAAACACGGCTGAGCTCTTCGGTAGTATCGAAGCTCTTCACTTTTTCTTCACTAGTGTTAAATGTGGAAAAGTTGAAGCGCTTTAATTCTCTCTTATTTTCATAATATTTATGTAGCAGTACCCAAGCACGCGAATAATTATCTCCGGTTATTGATAACGGACGTATTAATTTTTCAGTGGATTCTTACAGACAATACTTTAAATGATGGTTTTCAACATTCGAAATCGACGAATTGTGTCTAACGATGAATGGGAAAGTATCGCGAAACGAAGACCATTCTTTGAATGCGCCTGAGAAAGGCCGAATTTTCAGACGAAGCAACGTTTTTAATGAGAGAGTTTATTATTCTGTTTCTTCGTAAAAGAATTTGGTGTAATGACTTCGAATTTTTCGACATAATCGTTCAGCAAGCTTCGCTGTTGCACGTATTTTCAATCGAGTCGAAAAATCTAGATGTATTGTATTCATTCTTATCAAACGATTCTTTATGTATTGTGCTCGAATGAACTCGTGTTGCGACTCGCACTTCGCCCTTTCTCGAGAAGATTAATGCAGGTCTCGACAGCGTGGAGGTGATGTTTTCAGCGCCTATTTTCTTTTCAGGTTTGATACTTCGCTTTGGGTGGTCAGCAAGGCAGATGGATGCTTACTCAATCGTATTTTTTCAGTCACAGCAACTAAATGTGATAGAGGCACTTCCGAAATGGCAGTTGTTGAAATCGGCGGAAGAATTCGGCTCAAAGTAAAAGATGTTCGAGAGCACACGAAGAAACGATTCAAGTACGATTAATAGACACTAATGTTGCAACACAAAAAAGGAAAAACAATTTTAATTCTTCTTATAATTTAAATAAAACTCAATTTTAATTCACAAAAGGTTCATATACAATTAAGTTTACAAATAGAGTTTTAGAAACACGCTCAAAATGGAAAACTTTTTCAGTAGCTTTACATGAGAAGCGGTTTCACGTTTTATGAAACGATTTTCTCGGCATTATACTAAAGATTTTCTCGGTATTATACTAAAGGTTTTCTCGGCATTATACTAAAAGTTTTCTCTCAGATTTAACAACGAATTGAGAAATGTATTCGTCGCGATCAGAACGAATTTAAAGATGCAGTCAAACAAAGCATTTCTCAGTCAATTACCAATGAAATTTCGGCAAAATCAAATTTTCACCTCGGCGCCCATAGTTATTGCCAGTTCATATTTTGAAAAGAATTGCATTAAGCATGCGCAATCGACAATCAGAGAGAGAGAGAGAGAGTGATTAGAGGCAGAGCGCGAGTTATTTCGCTTGCTAGACACGATTGCTCTCCAGTTGTCGGTAGACTTGAGCGGCCGTTAAGAGAATCAAATATTGTGTGTATAACATGGACTTTTTTCTACAACTAAATAGAAAAAACGCCGTTAAAGATTATCATTCTTCTTAAACTTTCTCGAAGTCCCTGTTATACGCACAAAGAAAAATTTATCGAATTTTATTGCGAGAAAATAATGCGGTGAATCTCATGATCTTGAACACATTCCAATGTACCAGATATTAAATGTTTCAATATAAAATATTTCGTAATCTGTTTTGATTTTTTGATATATTTAGCTTTACTTTTATATGCAGAATAATTAGAATATAATCACACATTATTTAACGAAATTCGTTTAATCGCATTTGTAAAAAAAGTAAAAATGACTTTCATATTTTCTTTTGACGCATTCGCTTAGAAAAATAACATTGTGATCAAAATATACTCCCCTCAAGTACATGAAACTGCGTCATAAATAACTTTTTGATACGACAACAATTTAAGAGATAACCAATAATGCTTACTTACATAAATCACCCATACGTAGGTTTGCTATCCGTCCTCTTTTCTCTGGACACCGTCCTCTTTTTTATGACGTCCGGGGACGTCCGGAGGGGTTTTCGAAAGGCATCCAGGATAATCATGAGAGTCCGGGATTTTATATAAAAAGAAAATATTTTTTGACTGGATAGCGAAAAAAAACTTTGGCGTGTGAGTGTAGTGTTGACATTAAAGATTGGCAGTCCTGCAGATTGAGTAATAAAATTTATCCGCATATAGTGTAATGCCAGCTGCACACCAGCGCGATGTTCGTCGCACACGACACACGATATTCAAATGAGCGTATAACTTTAGAATGAGAACATCGATAAAGCTGTACGTTCATTGGATATCGCGTGTCGCGCGCGACCGGCGCGACAAACATCGCATTGGTGTGGCATTTAGCATGCTACAATCGTCTGTTATCGGCGTCTAGTATTTCTGCGTGTCGGCGCACAGCTCATTGCCGAAATAAACGCCGAGTCGCCGCGCATATTTTGATTAGGTTTTCTTATTTACATTGTCACAGTTCTCTTTCAAACACTTCAGATTTCGGTTTCACAGCATTGCGACGTATTTATACCTACTTATGCAAAATAGTTTACATTGGTTCGTACGAATTTTAATTAAAAAAGGTAATAAATATAATTTTATAATTTACTTATTTTGCGTAACTTTTATTTCAGAAGTGACAAGATGCCAAAGAGAAAATGTAAATTTAATACACAATTACAAACAAAATATCCATTTTTGAAATGCGGATGTTCACATTGTGAAGTAGTGCCTTATGTTCATCAAATTTTTCAATCGCAAATAAAGGCACGTACGATATTAAGGAACATTTGAATACAAAAAAGCACAAGCAATGAAAATCAAGTTGACACTTCAAAAATTGATACTTTTTTTTCAAAATCATCCAAAAATCAAAAAATTAAAGGAGCTATTGCATATCACACAATATATCATCATATGTCATTCATATCTCTTGACTGCACTATGAATTTGAATAAATTATTATTTCAAGATTCTCATATTACCAAAACTGCTACTTGTAATAGAACTAAAGCCACTGCAATAATTAAAAATGTATTATCTCCACTAGCGAAACATAAAATTGAAGAAATGTCTTTTGTAAGTGTTTCATGCGATACCAGTAATCATGGATCAATAAAATTACTACCTATACTTATTCAATATTACGAATGTTCATAATAAAAGTATTACAATAAAAATTCTAGAAATATTAGAAATAACTAACGAAACTTCTGATACAATTACTGATGTAATTCAAAGTGAATTGGAAAAACATTTATTGTCGTCTAAATGTGTTGCTTTTAGTGGCGATAATTGTAACACAAATTTTGATGGTAAAAACAGAATAGAAAAAAATAATGTTTACGCTAAATTAAAAAGTAGGCTTCATAAAGAAATAATTGGCATTGGTTGTCCAGCGCATATTATTAACAATACAGTTCATAAAGGCTGTGATAATTTTTCTATTGATATAGAATCTATTGTAATGAAAATTTTCAATTATTTTGCAATATTTGTACTGTAAGAACAGAAGCTTTGAAAGATTTGTGCCAACAATCTGAAATCGAATACTTTAAACTTTTATATTACTCAAAGACGAGATGGTTAAGTTTATATCCCGCTGTTAAACGGTTATTAAAATTTGAACCACTATTTCTTAAATATAGATAATCCACCAAAAGTGTTAAAAAAATTTTTTGAGAACACTTTCAGTGAAGCTTTTTTGTTTGTAATACATTCAACTATGAACATAATGCATACGAATATTGAAAAACTGGAAAGAGTTGACAATTTTATTATCAAAGTAAGAAAAATTTTAAAGGAAATTGTTCTTAATTTGAATGAGCGAATTAATCAGAAATTCATGCCATTAAAAGTTAAAGAAATTCTGAATAAAATTGCAAATATTGGACAAAGTACTGAAGAATTCATCGCAGAAGTTCATAATTTTCATGTCACAATGAAAAATTACTTAGAATCGTGGATTGCACTTCTGGAAGAATTGAATGTTTTTGATTGGATGGATGTTAATCAGAAAAATCATTACAATGGTCAGAGGTAGAATTTTTTTATCAACAGTAGAATTTTTATGTTTTTTATTTATATTTTTAACATAAAGATTAATGATGAAAAATTATTTAATGAATTTCTTTGCTTTCAAAAATTTATAAAAGATGTTTGTATTAAAAGTGTCAGCAATTGCAATAAGTTGTGGTGTCATTTTTTTGAAAAGTCAGAAGATGGAAAGAAGTGTAACGAGCTGAAAAAAATAGCACAATATTTTTTCTGTTTGTCAGCTCATAACGCAAATGTAGAAAGAATATTCTCGTTGTTACAAGCTCAATGGAGTCCAGAAAGGAATAAGCTGCTAGAAACTGTATCAGATATTATAAAGACAAAATATAATTTTGAAATGATATGCGAGGAATTCTATTAGTATCTTTTACAGTGTGATAAAAAAGTTCTTAGGGATATTGGAAGTTCAGAAAAGTATCAAGATAGAGACGAATAGATTTTATAAGGTTTTTGTTTGTAAAAATTTATAAGGTTTTATTTGTAAAAATTTATAAGGTTTTGTTTGTCAAAATGAAATGTTTCATTGTAATAACAAAAATGTGTACTGTAAGATGTTATACTGTAAACATAATAATAAAGAAATGATAGTATTGTGCAATTTGTAAGGAAAAAGCAACTAAATGTATGTACTTAAGAAAATAGGTCAAACATTTTTTGATAACGTATTATTAATTAAAGAAAAATCCCTGTTAATGGAAATATTATTTATCTAAAGATTTAAAAGGCTTATATGTGAAATAATTATTTCTAGAGCATCAAAAAAGATAAGCAAATGTATGCGTCCGGGATAGCAAAAAGTATTATATATATATATATATATATATATATATATATATATATTTCAACACAGACACAAATGGCACAGTGTGACACAGTGTCGACACAAGCGCCTTCCAACAAGGACACAACACAACACAAGTCAACACAGCTGTAGAGCAGAGTCGAACACATGTGTCGCTTATCATGACTACCAACTTCAATCAATATTATAATATTTGTAGTACTGTATCTAAGAAATTTGTTCATGGTCATTGGCGAATTGCGCGTGTTCATAGATTATATCAAATCTTTTTATAAAATTTGAGTAGAAAATGCAGTTTAAATTATAATGATATTATAACGCTTGATCACATTTCCCAGCATGAATGTTATGTTCAAGAAAATTTTAATGAAAATTCTTTTGGGCAAGAAAACTATAATGAATCGGATAGTTTATGTGCAGAAAAGAAAGAATGTAAATATAATTCAATGTTCAATCAAAATTTAATGTTTCTCTCTATTATTACTGTTAGAAATTACACACTACAATTCAGTACAATGGAAATTAAGAAGAAAATATAACAAGCTAATATAAAAATTCATAAACGTTAAGGAAACACCATAAATATTGTAAAAAAATCGACAAACCTGCATCGCATACCGACTGATCAACACGATGCGTAAGAAATAATTGTAAAAAACAGATGGAAACCATTTTTAACATAATTATACTGTAATTATTTTGTTCACATTGAGAATGACCCTATAATGAATTGAAAACGTTTTATAGTTTATTATTATTTTTTAAAGATTAAATTGAATTGTTAGCAAACTTTTAGCTAAGCTCGTAGCCCTTCTATTATTTATTTATTATAATTTACGATGTGATTTTTCGATTATTTTAATATTGTTTTAAACGTGTGTGACATGTTTCTTAAGTTACCTTCAATATTTAATTCTCCGCGAATCAGGTGGAAAATCAACATGAATCATATGTAAAATAAGAGAAAGTTCTGTAGTAACGACCAGCTTCTAATATCGACCAAAGCTTATTTTCACTTATCCCATTAGATGAGCTGTACATGAGAGAATGTCCTATTGTTTTATATATCATAATCCGCGATCATGCGTATCATTACTTCATAGGAAAGATTGGGGCAGCTTTTATTGACATGTCTAATAAGTGCAACAAAAGTTATTTTTCAGAGCTAATTTCTTGTTTCTCAGATAATTAAATAATTTTGTTGTATTGTATACACTATATTTAGCTATCTAGTCTATTAGCTATAAGAAAATAGTATTAATATAATCATTTTCTTTATCAACAGCGCAAGATACAAAAATATTTCGTGCTGTTTTTCCTATAGCATCGACCAACTTACTATTGCGTAGTACCGACCAACTTGTAAGTAAAGTTATTAACCCTTGACTGTAACATTCGAAAAATCACGTACGTATGTATACATATATAGTATATATGTATAGTCATCATCTTTTTCAGAGATGTCAGATAAAGCATTTATATGCCAAAATCTATTTTGACAAGTTCTTTATAATTTCTTGAACGCAGTTGTCGAATTGGCATAAAACTGTTAATAAACTGCTAATAAAAGAAAATTGAATCATAAAATTTTTTCTCTAATCTCAGAATATAACAGCACCACCAGTAAATAAGACTTAAAACGTGTAAATAGCATTAGCTTGTCTTTGTATTATTTTTTTATCAGTTTGTTATTTTACTCCTCCTTCATGTTCTTTGCATTCCATTTTCCTCGTATTGATATCAAGGAAATTGTTGAAGTTAAATTTTAACAGCAATTTATGCGAATGACGTTACAGTGTAAGGATTTATCTATTAGCAATTAAAATTAAAATAAAATATGTTCATTTAAGTTTTATCTTTCTATTTCAGAAAAATGAAAAAAAGAGGAAACTGGACTGAGGAGGATATGAAGGAGGCTGTAAAACAAGTTACTGACACAAAGACAAGCCGCTGAAACTTTCCATATTCCTAAAACTACATTAAGAGATCAATATAGGGCATTATGAATCGGTGAAGCTGTAACTTTTACTCCTCAAATGGGTAGATTAAAAATAACTTTCGATAAAGAATTAGAAACACTTTCAATTACTTTCTTACATAAAAGATTTGGATAACAAGTTCATGCCCTTAAGTAGGAGTGAATTTTTGAAATTTTCTTACGATTTAGTTGGCCATCTAAAATTACCACATCAATTTAACGAAGAAAACAAGACTGTAAATAAACGGTTTTATTATGATTTCACGTTATCGAAGAAGCACTTTCTCTAAGAAGTCCGGAGCCCACAAGCCTTTCAAAAGCGCTAGGATTTAATAGATATCAAGTGAATTGCTTTTTTAATAAATATTCAGAACTTCTTATGAAATGTAACTTTTTTTCTAATAAGATTCATAACTGTGATGAAATTGATATATCTATTGTTCACGATAATATTATCAAAGTTATTTCACAAAAATGAAAAAAAAAACAAAGTGAATAAAATCAGTAAAGAGAGGAAGAAATATCATAGTTTTATTAAGCATAGATACTGCTGGGAATATTTTTATTCTACTTCTATTTGTTTATCATTAAATAGATGCAATTTTGAAGAAGGATGCTCCTTCAAGAAGTATTTTTGCAGTTGAAGAAAGTGATCGAATAACTGTTAAAGCTTTCTTAAAATGGATGGAGCTATTTGTTAAAAGAATTCAACTTGAAAAAGAATCAGTTGTGACATCTGTAGCATCACTACCACCCAACATTTTTTCCGATAGCAATAAGTTTAAACAATTAACAATTGTAA